GATGGATGGATGGATGGATGGATGGATGGATGGATGGATGGATGGATGGATGGATGGATGGATGGATGGATGGATGGATGGATGGATGGATCACTCCTTTTAATGTGGATTGTTTGTCAGATAAACAAAGCATAATTTTTATCTATGAACGAATACATTCTGTCCACCTGCCCACAGGGGGAATATTAAATTGTAAATAATGTCCAATAATGTGACTGATGGAGAAAACACCTGGAGAATCCATCAAATAATCTTCAGAATGTACATATTTGTGTTATTTTTAAGCATTTTAAACTTGTATTTGGTAATACTAGTATCAATGTCATCATTTGATTCAAATCCCAGTGATCTAAATGCAGATACGTAAAAAACAAAATAGAAAACAATCCATGCTGGAAAAAACCCATGAAACTTCGGTCTGTTCCTGCCTCAATAAATGAAAAACCAGTGACAGCTGGAATTTGACAGCTCATATTAAAAATACAGATGGTTACATTGACAGTGAGACCAGGCATCTGCTTGTGCTTCATATGTTAGAACAGATTATCTATTTAGTGTGGGTATGCATACAGATGTTTTTAGCCTTTGAGGGGCTTTGAAATAACGTTCCCTTTAAAATAGAAGATAAATGAGGAGTGACTAAAAAATAATAAAAGGAAACTGCACAATTCTTAAACAAAAAATTATAATATTATCAATAATTTGTCATGTATGGAAAAAATAAACCATTAATTGATTCCAGTCCCTAAATAATTTTTGAATTACGGTAAACAGATTTTGTCAAATTCATCTTAAGTAATTTATTATTTCTAGTTCTTCTTGTAATATCTATGAATACAATCCTGTGAGACAGTAACAGGTGTCTAATGATCAGATGTCATCATTTAGATCTGATCAGAAACTCAGCTGATTTAACACAACTATTGATTTATTATTAATGTTCTCATTTCTAGAGAAATATACGCAGACTTTGCCCTTCTCCCCTCTACAGGAAGGCAGATGTTTTTCTTCCCATTTAGAGCCCACAGCAGAGGGAAACGTTCCTCCAGAAAATTATTTGATTTTATTTAGTTTGCTCAGGCTACTCGTAAATTTTACACATTCAGTAATAAAATGTCACAGGGGGATGGTCATTTAATAAGGGGGATGATTTTTAAGATTTTTTTTTAAGAAGGGGGATCCCCCACCCTCCACCCCACCCCTCAACTCGAGTACTGTTAATAAATTAATCCAACATTCTTCTGTAACCAAGAGATCGCTGTCCTGCTGGCTCGTTAACCTTTGCCTCAGGCTCCATTTTTTTTGCAGTCTGTAACAGGTTTGCTTCCAGGACTGCCATGGATTTAGCTCCCTATCAGCTTCCCTCTATGTAAAGCCAAAGATGTAAAACTTTATTCTCATCTAATCAGAGAACCTTATTCCTTTATTTATGGATGGATATTCTTTAGTTGGACTAATCATAACCGTATTTTAACAATGGCGACCTTCCTGCTATTCTTCCATAAAGGCTGCTTGTTACCAGGACCTGTTGGCTGCTACTCTGATCAATTCTCTCTCCAGCCTACCTTAGATGGTCTGCCACTCTTAGTTCTGTGTTTTGCATATTCATTCTACAATAAAATTACAGTTGCAATCTATTTACCTGTTATCTAACTTCTAAAGGTGTCTGGTTTCTCTGTATTTAATGACTTTTTATTTCTAAAACATATCTAGAAATAGTGTTTCTTCCACTATACAGTTATTTACTACTTTTAGTTGACTTTCTAAAGTGTTGAAAGGGGACAATTATTGCACAGAATCCTAGTTTTAATCAGGAGGGAATAGTTTTCATCCTGATGTGTGACCGTGTGTTAATGCTCATGTTATTTGTGTCCTAAAGGAGCATGGGGTGACCCTGCCATGTACCTGGGTCATGGCATGTGCATACGCTCCCTCAGGTTGTGCTGTGGCGTGTGGGTGAGTAAACCGCCTCCTTTTGTCACATATAATCAGCTGATTGGAAGCAAAAGTGTCTCCTTCACTTCCTGTAAATGTATCTAATATCTGTGATGTCATCCAATAGGGGCTTGGATAACAAGTGCTCAGTGGTCCCGCTGTCGTTAGACAGAAATGAAAATTTGGCTGCAAAGAAGAAGCCGGTTGCCATGCACACCAACTATGTATCTGGATGCTCCTTCACCAACTCAGACATGCAGGTGAGCAACAGGTCACTGATCTGTTAAGGACTTAAATAGACTCACAGGGTTGCTGTTTTTTTTTTTTTTTAATCAGACACTTGTAGCTGTGCTTACCAATTTGTCGTGACCAGGGTCCATGTTAGAGAAATAACAGCTGATGGTTTGCATTTGCTAAAAATATGCATCTAGTTTACACCGAATGATAAGGACCTAAACACATTATGCAACACAGATCTGATGTAAAACAGAAAACATTAATTGCTACCACCTTTGTGATTATGACGTCCTAATTTCCCTCTTCTGAGGTAGATTTAAAACACTATTATCAGGGCTGCCAACTTTTCACCAAACCTTGCAGTGAGATATTAAAATAGTTTGGACGAGCAACCCCTATCAGGGATAGATAAGGATAGGTGCAGGTATAGGTTGTAGGTTTTCAGAGGATTTAACTGAAACAAAGTGGCAAAATGTGGACTTTTTATAGCACAGTAAATGTTACTGATTAATAACAAGGGACCTGTAGTTATGTGGAAAAATATTCACACAATATACATTATTTTCTATATTCTGGCGATTTTCAGAGAACTGAAGTAAAGAAGATTGGGCCCTACTAAAATACTTGCATCTTAAATAGACTGTAAACTAAGAATTAGAATAAGAATTACGTAAAATATAAGAATTACATAAACATATCACCAGAATGATTGACAGTTAGGAAGACCACTAAAACTGTTCAGTGCAGTTTTATTAGAATTTAATTCAATTCAGTTTATTTCTATAGCGCCAATTCACAACACATGTCATCTCAAGGCACTTTACAGTTCACCAGATCATCCAGTCAAATTGATTCAGTTTTCTATCTAAGGGAAACCAGTTGATTGCATCAACTCACTGAGTTGAAAGCAATCCCTCACACTTAGCATGCTTGTAGTGACAGTGGAGAGGAAAAACTCCCTGTTAACAGGAAGAAACCTCCATCAGAACCAGGCTCAGTGTTAGCGACCATCTGCCGAGGACGACTGGACAGCCCGGTCCAGGAAACACACAGCCAGGCAGAGGATGAAGAGAGCACATCCAGTTAGTCACAGTCAGAGAAACAAGACTACACTGGAAAACAGGATAATCTCCAACGTCTATAAACAAAGATGTTATATTATGTAACTCTCTGCAATATGGCCATAGTAATATAAGAATAAAAACTACCAGACACATTGAAATCAAATAATATAAACAATAATATTCTCTTCTGTGTGTTTTTAAGAGCCATCTGATCCTGTATTTGCTCCAGACAGTCTATATGTGTTTTGCATGTTCAGTTATCCTTTTCCTTATATAGATACATAAAGCTGAAAGTCATCTGCATAGCAGTGAAAGATAGATTGTGCTGTATAATGCTTCCATTATCAACAAGTTGGAGTTTAATCATCTAGGTAAATGCCTTCTGCTCTTCTGCTTCTAGACACTTGTTTTCTATAAGGTCACTATCTCCACTGTTACAAGCATAACAATCACAAAACATTTAATAATTTAAACATATTGTCCTCTAAATGTTCACAAGTAGCCCCTGAACGGCTGACTCAATGCTGATAAATAATAAAGAACCGTTAAAAAAAGATAATGTAGGAAAATATAACTAATGTTGTTTTTTTCACTGTGTCTTCTGGAAATGTGGCAATAAGATTAATTTTTTTGATGCCAAAAAGAGCCCAACAGATTTTACTTTCAAAAGTTGCTTTCGCCATACAGTAATGTTCCGCTTGATTTATGCATGTAAATAGCTTTATTATAGTTCATGCAGGGAGTATTACAGATTATATGGACACTGCAATGGGAAAGTAGAACAGGAAAGGAAAATCAAGAAGGAGAAAAGATGAAAGAAAGAGGAGAGAGAGGACAGAAGATGTTTTATCATCGTCTCCCTTTTGTCTGCTTCATCACCTGCAAAGGAAGATGTCAAAAGAACAGCACAACCAACGGATATACTGTAGTATAAGAGATACAATAAAATAACCCCTTGATAGTATCGCTGAATTATAAGTAGTATTATTTAATCTGACATATATACTGTGGTAGTTGAAGATAAGTATATGAGCTTTCTGTATGGAAGTGAATCTCTAAGTACCTGGAACCAATATAACTAATGGTGATGCAAGTGGCATCCATCTTTAATGCACAAGGCGATACCACCATGTTGCACCGACTTTCTGACTCCAAATTCTGACTTTCTGAGATGTTCCTGTAGGAAGTTGCATATTTCGATTCAGAGAACAAAGATAATCACCATGTGTTCTGACGCTCATATTCGTCTGTAATGGCCACTATGGCCTCTGGTGCAAAATTAACAATGACAAAAAACACAGTTCTACGTGGTACTTTGTACATATATACAGGGTATCTTCTTCTAAACATTAATGATGACCTAAAAACAGTGCATGATTGGAAACAAGAGTTGCAGAATATATCCTGCAGCAATGGAACAAAAAATCCAAAAGAGATGGAGTGAAATTTCAGATTCAACAAAGTAGGTGTGTGCATGTTTGATTATGCAGCACAGCCTGGGGGAACACCTGCTCCACCATTTTCTCACCATCTAATCCAGCTAAAAGTCATCACAGCTGGAAGTCACATCTCTGTTTAGCATATCAATTTATTGCTGGTTGAATCTTTGTGCGTCAGTAATGTTACTTGGTTGGATCCTGTGTGCGAAGCTGAGTAGATCGCAGGAACAATATGAAGGAAATGGTTTTAGCTATTTGCGTTAATAATTTACTCCTTTCTGGCTCTTCAAAAAGCAGAAGAGCACAGAGGGGAGGGAAATAAAGAGAGGAGGAGTGGTATGATCTGTCCTGGGAGTATTAATAGACACTGAGTGGCTTTTATCTGGGAGACTGGAGTACTCTGACCCTGAGGGCAGAACATTTACCACACAAATAAACACAACTACACAGTAGATAGCAAAAGTATTCACACCCCTTCAGCTTTTCCATATGCAGCCATGTTACAAGCACAAAGGAAACGCTTTTTAGAAAATTTAATGTCAAAAAAGTGGCATACATTATGTATTCAGACCGTCTGGTCTTGCTCTAACGCCACTAAAGGAAAATCCTGGGAAACCGATCAGAAGTTAGAGAAGGTCGGTAAAGATCAGAGATAAAACTGTGGGGAACTTCAAAGCATGATTAGGTAATATTAGGCTGGTACATCTCTAACTGTTTGTTGCCTTGCAGGGATCCACAGAGAATCCATTCACAGGACAAAGATTGATTATTAATTCGATTTGGATGATTTGCAAAGAGAAAAGAGAGAGTGAAAATATGCCCAATATAAAGTTTGCATGACTTGCATGAATCCAATTATTGTTAAAAATCCATAAATCCATTATCTCATGGATTTATGACTTTGGAAAAAGAGTTAAAAGCTGTGTCCTCAATGCAAACAACACTGCCTCTGAACACACTAGCCCGACAGTGAAACATGGTGATGGCAGCATTGTGCTTTGGGGATGCTTTTTAGATTTCATATGTAAAAATAAAACTGTAGGGAGTTGAGATTTTCCTTCCAATTAATAACTATGTTGTTTTTGTATTTCAAGCTGTGTGAGTAATTCTTAGGCCCTACTGCTACCCCCCCATCCAACCAATGTGTCCATTGTTGTCAGAAGGCAGAAACTCCCTCTCTAATGTAAATCAGAGTCTCCAGGGCCTCTTTGTGTGCATGAGTCAAGGCTTCCTGTCGATGGGCTTTTAAATATCCTGCAGCAGATCAGCAGTCAGACCGATAGAAAAGCTACCCGTCTGATCGCTCCAGCAAACACGTTTCTGTGAAACTGTGGCTTTTCGAAATGCTAGAAGTGAGAGTTGCTCTCTCTGCAGCAGGATGTGGTGTGTTTCAGGTCTGAGGTCATGCAGCATCCTCTCTAATCAAGCAGCCATCAGGGATGTTTCTGTGTTTCTCTCAGAGCCCATGATTTGCTTTCATCTGAGGATTTGGTGACATTTGAACCTTTTGCAGGTCTGTTTGTGTATAGATGGATGATTTCTCAGTGGGAGCTTTCAGCCTATCAGAGGTGCTGTTCTACTGTCTTCTCTGTGTGTTTTGACTGTATTTGTTGCTCTGATTCCCACTAATACAGGCAACAAATAACTTTCTTTTTCATGTGAAAATACCACTTCCTTCAGTCGATGTCCCTCGGGAACAAAAGCTCTATTATGGCTGCATAGTAAATATAGGACCCATAGAAGCCACTGGGTTATTTCTGTCTCTTTCATTTCCCAGTAAATTAGAGAATTGAAAATACTACCAAACAGGTAAAGAGATTAACAAGAATAACAAGAGATAAACTCTAAAAATAACAAACCGACATGATGTTTGGGGCTTTTCTAAAGCCCTGAGGTTCTTAGTGATACCAAGTGGTGCTGAGGTTTCACTACTTCAGATCAAATAGGATTTTCTATATTTGAATAACTTCTATAAGCTTCAGGCTGGATTTCTGTTTGTTTCTTCCAAGTCCATTCAGTGCACCTTTGCCCACAGACATGTTGTGGTACCTTTGACGTTTTGTATCTGTCTGGCAGCTGCTGACCTCCAGTGGAGATGGCACGTGTGCCCTGTGGGACGTGGAGAGCGGGCAGCTGCTGCAGAGTTTCCACGGTCACACAGCGGATGTTTTGTCGCTGGATCTTGCTCCGTCTGAGACTGGAAACACCTTTGTATCTGGGGTAAAGAGACACCAGTCCGTCACAGTCACATTTAGTTAAAGCACAGAGCATACTTTACCTAAAGCAATGCTTTATAATGAGGTTATCTTTTAATAACCTGTGTTTTCTGTGTGTGTTGTTAACAGGGCTGTGATATGAAGGCCAATGTATGGGATATGCGCTCAGGACAGAACATCCAGTCTTTTGAAAGCCACGAGTCTGATATCAACTGTGTGAAGTTAGTTCATTTCCACAAATCTGACTTTAGACTGAAACTGTCCTGCATGCATCATCTAATGAGTTTGGAAGAAAGTGTTGGTTTAGATGGCGCTGAAGCGTGGCTTTGCTCAATCAGGTTTTCACACCATTAAACTCAGAGGTCTCATAACAGCTGCGCTTTAAATGAGCACTTCTGTATGTAATCTGTGATTTAAAAGCTGGATCTCGTGGCTCTGCAGCTGTCTGATCGCTGTGATAATGTTCTGGATTAAACAGGATTATTTCCCCCCGCCCCCCAGGCTCTGAAATATTCCTCTTACAGCTTTATCTTACATTTTGCACCCATAGCCTCATCCTGACACTGACATATTCCCAGAACAGCAGTTTGTCTCGTCAGCAAAAGTTTGTTTTTAGTCATTTAAGTCGTGTTGGAACATTTACACGTCAACTTCACTTTGGACTCTAAAGTTTTCGTGGAAAAGGACATGTGACACGGCTCCCCTAGTAAAAGGAAGTACAAAGAGTTGCTTGAATAATGTTTGTTATGTTAGAGTTATTAGAATAATGCACAATTTTATAGTAAATCCAAAGTGCACCAAAATCAAAAGCAATGAAAACATTTTAACAGCTTAAAAAGCAAGTCAGGTCTGTTAGACTGTAAAGGGAAACTAGATCTACTCATTTTAGATGGGATCCGTCTTAATAAACCTTTTTTCCTACCTTGCTGCTATAAAAAAACAAAAATCTATTTAGTCTTTAGGATGGATAAGAGGTCCTCCTTTATGTGGGTTTATCAGACCAACTCACAAACTCATTTACGTTATCCATGCTCCTAATTTAATTAACTTGATTTAGAGATAATTATTGAGTTAACAATTAAGATTTTAAATAGTCTCGGAACATTTTTATTTGTTATCTAGCTCCTTTCATAGAGCTAATATGATATATTTTTATGCTCTTCAAGTCAACAGTTTGGCTGATATGTGAGAATGCATTAATCTTAAAGATTATTTGTTGTCTGGCTCCCTTATTTGACCTCCCAGTTGTTTCCATAGAAACTATTTTAATAGAGGAACACAAAATGGCCTGTACATTTCCAAGTCAGAGGACATGACACAAAGCGCTTTACACTACATTCAGGCATTAAGCCATTCACGCACACTGATGGAGTCACAGATGCCCAGACAAACACTGACAAACACGAGGCTGCTGTACAACGGCGCCACCAAGCCCTCTGACCACCATCAATAGGCAATACAGGTGAAGTGTCTTGACGACACTGAAATCCAGAGTCGGGGCTTGAGCCGAACACCCTACGGTGTCATGGCAAACTCCTACATCAGAGACCACTGTCACCCAACAGTTGCCCCACAGTTTTAATGTGCATTTTAATTTGCACAAACAGCAAATCAATGTGAGCAGTAAGGACAGTCAGGCACAGGTGTATGTCAAAAAAACATGTTTGTTTTTTATCACCCGAAAATATAAAATGCAACAAGTACAAAAATGCCCCACTGAGCTTAAATAAACCAAATAAAGTAAACCGCCCCCCCGTTGTGTTGATGTGTGTCCAAAACAACTCAGCCACTTGGTCTCCTGCTGCAAAACTCAAACAGAAATAAATGAAACCCAATCATAACAAAAACAGGGTAAACCAAAGAGTGAGCACTACTTCAGGAACAGTGTAATGCTGATGACTAATACCAAATAATGAGATGGCTCTGTCAATGAAACCCTATATGAAACAACTAAACGACATGAATGGTGTTTGTTGTTCCAGCCGTCACAGTGAAAACGTCTCTTCCTCTTCTCCAGGTACTACCCCAGTGGCGACGCTTTTGCCTCAGCTTCAGATGACGCCACGGTGAGTTCTGCTTCCCCACTTGATGTCATGGGACAGCAGTTATTCTGAGGAAGTAATGTTGATGTAATGGTCTCACTCTGAATCTTTTTTCCTCAGACTAAGGGATGTTTATTTTTAACAGCCTGAACACTCTAAAACTTCTTGTAACACTAACTTATCCTGAGCTAAAGCTCCCTCTGAGCTCCTGATGTATCCAGCTGTGTGTTTTATCCTGACCCGTTTGTTGGTTCTCCTCAGTGCCGGTTCTATGACCTACGAGCTGACCGTGAAGTGGCCGTCTATCAGAAGGACAGCATCATATTTGGCGCCTCCTCTGTGGACTTTTCTCTAAGTGGTGAGAAACACTTTTGATTAAAGGTTCACCGAAATGTTGGCCTGTTGTACAATCCTAGAGATCCTCCTCCACTATAACCTTATTATAACTACGATACCAAATGTTTTCTTGAGATGTATTTAAAGCAATAACAAAGTTCCATCCAATCATTTTGTTTGTATCCGTTTCTCTGTATTTCAACTTCCTTCTTTATTTTTATCCACCAACCACCAGGTCGCCTGCTCTTTGCTGGGTACAACGACTACACCATCAATGTCTGGGACGTCCTGAAGGGAAATCGTGTTTCCATCCTCTTTGGCCATGAAAACCGTATCAGCAGAGTCCGAGTATCACCCGACGGCACGGCGCTCTGCTCGGCCTCCTGGGACAACAGCCTAAGGGTGAGCCCCCGCAAAGCAGGAAGTTAGACGCCACATTAGTGGCTTCAAAAAACCCGAAACTGGATTGCATTTGGTTCAAAGACAATAAACAACACTTCTTCTTTACATCAAGAGAACAAAATGTTTACAGATTTCAACCCAATTCTAAACATTTGGCTTCAGATTGCATCACAGCAGCGACTCTTGTTTTTGGAGGAGCTGTTTTTCATTTTTCAACCTAATAATTTTCCTTTTTCTTGCAGATTTGGGCCTAAAGATGCTCAAATGGTTCAGTTCAAGATGGAGATCAGCACTCCTGCCTGATGTCAACAGTCCTGCTTAAATGATTGAATGCTAAACTTCAGCTTCCCTCAAAGATTCAACCTCTTCTACATGTGAACATGTAACAAACAAAGCTTGCTTAAACCTCTTCATTGTTAGTTTCAGTCTTAAACACACCGGGCTTCATAAATCTAATCATTGGATCCATCTTCCAATCAGCTTTGAGCGTTTTTTCTACTGCTGAGAAAGAAGAATGATGCAGCCACCACCGTGTTTGACTGTGAGGGCATACAGGTTGACTAGTTCTCTTTTGGCCTCATCTAAACAGATGTTTGCTGTGCTCTAAATAGTTTTTAACAAACTTTTAAGTAACTTTTTATAGCTTTTGGATTTATGTTTATCACCTCTCTATAAATGACAGATTTTTATTTTTTGACTGCACCCTTAGTTGTCCTTTCAACAGATTTGTCCAGCGAATCATAGAGGTGGACTCTTTCTCTACTAATGATTTCTAAATGATTGATTTCTAAATGGAACTAATTTTCTAACAGGGGTGTATATTACAGATAATACATATACACACCACACAGACTTTAAACTATCCTTTTTCTTTAACTTGAGGGTTATGCATTCATTCTACATTAATGGCTGCCAATGAAAAGTGACAAAAATATGAAAATATTAGGAAATCTTTTCTTTCAAAAGGCACTGTACCCCACATCATTCCTTTTTTAAGTGTTTTATTATCTATAGAGATATTATTTATTACCTACTGTAATGGCACAGTGATGGTGATATTGTCCTTCTTAGAAATCACAATAAATAACAATAAAACGAATGCTGCAAAGCATTAAAACAGTACTAAAAATATGTAAGAATAATATGTTGTTTTATTATTATTCAGTGGACGATAAACCTAGAACTATGGTTGGGTTCATGCGTCTTCTATCAGAGGGTCGGGAAGCGCTGCTCTATCTGATGCACCTTATGGCTAAAATGAAGATATATAGAAATTAACCATCATAGTGTTTTTATTTAATCATCACTGATTTTCCTGTGATAAAATAAAACCAACTGTGGATTATTCCTTGTTTCTGTGTTCAGTATTTATTCAGTCTTGCTATCTGTTTGCTTTCTGTCTGCTACTTTTCCCAAATAAAATAATATTTCAATTCATATTTGGACTAATCACTGAATTTACTGTAGCAGTTCTAAAGATATGGTCTGAGTCACATTTTAATCAAAATCTGCAGGTGTTATTATTATTATTAGACCAGAGAATTTCATCTCTAGACACAATATTGTGATATATTGTCAAGACTTTTTGTCAAATTGAAGTGAACAGTAAATTTTAATTGTGTCTAATTAAATGGTTTTGGACCTGATAAATTTGCCTAAACTTCTTCCAGAATTCTTTTTGAACTATAAGTTTATTATTATTAATTACCCAAAATGTGAGCTTTTTTTTAATTTAGGTTGAAAACAAAGAAAAATAAATAGATTGTGGGTAAATAATCCTGATTTCCAGTCTAGAGAATGCACCTGCAGCCCCATTTCACCTGAAAGCTAATTTTATCACTGAAGGCTGTTGAACATCGTAATTGATCTATAGGTTTATCAGAACTGCAGATTTGGCCCTCAGAAAAGCTCCAGTTTCATTACTATTAGATATATCTGGAGATCCATCATCTGGCCAGAGGTTGGAAGCTTATTATGATGTATCAGATCCGTTATCAGCAGCTAAAGCACTGATTTTTTAAAAATTATTCTACTTTCCCTGTTCTTAGTGTGTTGAATGCATCAACCAACAGCATTAACTTTTATGCACCTTTTTTGAGTTACATAAATTAGATAAAGCTTAGAAACAAAAACCTCCAAAGTAAAATTGTACTATTTTACAAACCTGCAGCTCCCTTTATGAGACTGAATCGATCCAAACTGAAATTAGCAGGTAAGAGCTCCAGATAAACTGGGAATGGGTACTGGCCAGGAGGAGCCTGATTGTTGCACAGTAAATCATACCACTTTATTTATACAGCAGTTTAAAAAACATCAATGCTGAACAAGCTGAGCAGAGAAAAAAAATAAACTGAATTAGAGGAAAAAAAATACAAAAGAAATGCAGAAGGTCAACTTGAATTTTAAAGGACAACATATGAAGATGGATCTAGTTTTTTAAAACATGATTGATTTTCTCACACCTCATTGTTGATACTTTGCTCAAAGGTCAGGTTGCTTTTCCACATAAGCACTTTATATCACAGAAAACAATTCACCTATCAATACTGAACAAAGTACTGAGCTAAAACAGACACACCCTTCCACTGAAACTCTCTGAACTGCTGGGTGTTTTCTTTAAAGTACTGATGCTAAATTATGGATTATTAAAATCTGCATTTGGGAACAGTCACTCGAAAACAAACAAAACATAGAAAAAAAGGCCCTTTTGAGCAGGATACTGTCTTTATGTTTAAACAGTAGCTCAAATGAATCCCCCCAAAAATCCCTAAGAATACCCAGAGGAAAACACCAATGTAAAATAAAGAGAAAGAGAAAGAGGAATAGAGGAGGATAAAACAAAGTGGCCGTTGCATTAGGGAATTCCCACAAAGTGATAGTTCTTTAAATCGTTGACAGATTTACCTTTGCTTAGAGTCGGTGGCTGCTGCCCGATGGTTTTACTGTCTAAAGCTGGTCAGTGATCCAAGTTTTAACGGTAAGATACAGACCTTTGATGTTGTTGTTTTATTTTAAGCTCAGGTGAAACTAAATCCTTTGGAAGTAAAGGTATAATGTTAAGCCTGGTTATGGGGGAATGCTGAAGTCAAACAGGTTATATATGCTTTAAACCAAATTCAGGATGTAGTGCGGTGCTTGGTATTTAGCTTATGTGGCTAAAAACTGCAAACAAAGTTAAGTCTTTTTGTAGTTTTCATTCAAAGTAAAATATTGTCCTGTTATTTACATGGATTTTTTGATCACAAAAAGGACATTTTGGTTGGTATATTCCCAGTTTTTACACTCTAATCAATCATTTTCCTTTGCAATGTGATACTCTGATCATTTTATGATAACAATTATATATATTTTTTTAAATTCCAGCCCAGCTGACACTGTTAAACTGTTTTTCATTAATTGAATAAGTTTCTTTACACGGCAGTAATTCACAACAATCCCATCAATGAGTCAATTTATATCAATCTTACCTACAGATTTAAAGTCAATAACATGCATCCCATTGGAATCCCAATTATCCAATAAAAATTATTTTTATTCTCATTACACTGTCACAAGTACAGAGCATTGAAAGGAACTCTCTGCATTTAACCCATCGCCTGGGGGAGCAGTGTGGGGTTAAGGGTCTTGCTCAGGGACCCAGAGTGGCAGCCTGTGGGAGTGGGATTCAAACTCAGAACCTCAGGATTCCAAGCTCTATGCCCTAACCACTAGCCCACCACTCCCCCATTCAGTTAAATGTAGTTTATTATTCATCTTTTGATATAGAAAAATAAAACCACATGGAAGAAGATTGAAACAGATGTAGTTATTATCATTGTTTAAACACATTTACAAAATTACATAAATTCTATTATTAATACTTGGACTAAAATAATTGCTGAAGCATGGATCTTAAAACAATATGATTAGGCAATGTAATAAAATTAAAAATTAAGTCACTTTCTGACTAAAATACACCTATAATGTCTTTTATTTTAGTCTTTTTTAAAGTTGAACTCTTCATATTTATTTGAAATGGGAAGACTAAGGAAGTAAAGAGTATTCAAAAAAAAGTTTAAAAACAACAATCCACTGGACTTTGTTTCCAAGTTTAAAGAGGTTTTGCTTCCCATCCAGCGAGCTTTTTAAAATCCAGAGGCATAGAAATCCTTCATATCATCCTTTGCCAAGATTTCCACTTTCCCTCTCATTTACCAGCTTTGATCAACAGACTCCAACCATGAGGCCTATAAAGTGATACTGCAGATAGAGGAACCTGTGGAAGGCAAGTTTATTTGTAAATCACAGTTCAGCACAAAGACGATTCAAAGTGAAGTAAAGGTTAAATAAAATAATAAAAAGCTGATAAAAGCTGGGAGTAAAACAACTAACACAGTTGGACCAGAATTAAACTAATAATACGTCAGTTAGCAGTTTAACTTCAGCAGTCAAAGGCAGCTCTAAACAAATGGGGTTTTAACTTTGATTTAAAGAACTCAGGCTTTCAGAACTTGTACACTCTTCTGGGAGTTTGTTCCAGATCAGTGGAGCACAGGAACTAAATGCTGATTCTCCATGTTTGGTTCTAGATCTGGGTGGACAGAGATGACTGGAAATAGAAGACCTGAGTGGTCTGGGAGGTTGATACACTGACAACAGATCTATTATGGATCAAGGTGCGGATTCATTCAGTGATTTATAGACAGAAGGATTTTAGAGTCTATTCTCTGAGCTACAGGGAGTCATTGGAAGGACTTCAGAACAGGGCTGATGTGCTCTACTTCCTTAGTTCTATTGAGAACATGGGCAGCAGTGTTTTGGATCAGCTGCAGCTTTCTGATGGACTTATTAAGCAAACCTATTAAGGCACTGTTGCAGTGATCAATTCTACAAAAGATAGATGCAACACTTTATTTTCTGTTACTTACTCTACAAGCTGACTAGGCCCACAACTAGTCATATATATATGTTCATATATTTAACTAACATCTATCCTCATATTAAGATATTCATGACATCAAAAATCCTAGTTTTAAAAAGAAAAGTTGTTAGAAACCTGATCTTTAAAAATACAGATATCCTAAACATTGAATAAACTTTTCTTCAAAATAGTAAAAATAATAATAATCTAAGGACACCGTCCCTCTCAAAGAAGTGAGATCCACAGTATATGTCAATAATCCCAGCCAGCTTTTATATGGTTATGTGCCCAGGACCGTCTAACACTGCAGCCAAAGTTAACACTCTCCCTTAAAATTATAAACTAACACTAACAATTAAATTAACACAAAAATGAAAACTGCAATAATAAATAAAAACTCATAACTTTACTCAAATAAAACACAGATTTTTAATAAAAATCTAAAAACTTTATTCTAAAAAAATAAACTGTCCCAGATGAATGAAGTTCCTTGCTCATGAACAGTGAACCAACAAACCTGTCGAGGTGCATAAATCCGACTGAACATTTTCTGTACGTTAATTAATAATAATTAATTTTAATTAATCAGAACATTAAACAAAACTCCTGATTTTATTTTTTTTCCCTGAAAGTGTTGCTTAACTAAATTTCAGTTCAGGAGCTCCATCAGGCTTTTTTACTTGTTTTATTTATTAATACAAACATATGTAGTATACATATATATTAAAAACCCACATCATGAATTCCTTTATTATATTATCTTTATTTTTACTTTTGTCAAATTCAATTTATGTTACTGGCAGCTGATTTACTCCGTCTTTAATGGAACAGTGTTTCAGGCATGAATAGTTGCTTTGCAGCTTTGTTAACTATGACAAAGCACCATGTGCAGATAGACCAGGGGAGCTGTAATAGAGGGGAAAGTTAGGAAGAGTCTAAGGGTCCTTGATTGAGGCGGGGCCCAAAAGAAGAAGAAAAGATATGTTCCAATAGATATTTGAAATATAAAAAGAAAATTCAGCAGTAAAATATATAATTTTTGTGTTCTCCCTAATTTTCTGCAGTAAACGGTGAAAAAAAGCATGCAATTAAATTAATGTATATTTAACCTTTTCATTGATAATTTTACAATAAAAAGTACTTTGAAAATGTAAATGATATGACTTTTCAGTTGTGTGTGTGTGTGTGTTGGGGGGTGGGGGGGGCGTTGGTGGGGGGGGTTCGTTGATTGATATCAATGTCTTTCTTGGGGCCCCAAATCCCTGCCGGCGCCCCTGAGATGAGACACACAGGTTTTGACACAGGTAGGCTAACTTAGAGATAAACTAAATTATTATTTAATCTAAAAAATGTATTCATACCCTATAGGAGAGAATGACAATAATACACCGCATGAAATAAAACATGAATAAATACTACATAAACAATAGTTTAACTAGTGGAACTAGAAGTAAGGCTCTCACTAGCGCCCCTGGAGGCCGATTGATGTGTCTTCATGTTGGGATCTA